CCGGGAGGATAAGTCTAATCTCTGTGGTAAATGTGCTTTCTGGGGGTCCTCAGGAGGCCTCAGAAGCTTTTTCAGTGCCATGAGGTAGACTGAACTTTGCTACTGAGTGGCTGTGTGACCTTGGGCAAGTCACTTCACCTCTGAGTCTCAGCTTCTCCCTTCTGAGATGGGAACTTGGTGATCCACCTCCTCAGGCTGACGTGGGGGTCACCTGAGACAGTGCGGTAAATACCAGGGTTCAGCCTGGCGCACCATGAACTCTGCCAGTGTGAGCCAGCCCAGGTTAGCAGCCCCAGGTTACAGGCAGTGCAGGGCCCCACAGGAGGTTGGAGGATGGCGGACGCCCTTCCAGGCCTGTTCTTGGGCTGCCGGAGTGATGTCCCACAGACCTCACTTATGGGGCCTCTCAGGTGATGGTGCCCAGTGGTGTAACATGCCATCATCATCAGAGCTCACTGAGCCCAGGTCCCCTCCGCACACGCCATCATCATCAGAGCTCCCAGATCCTAGTTCCCTCCACACACGCCTTCGTCATCACAGCTCTCTGAGCCCAGGTCCCCTCCACACACCCATCGTCATCACAGCTCCCAAACCCTAGGACCCCTCCACACACCCATCATCATCGCAGCTCTCCGAGCCCAGGTCCCCCTCCACACACCCATCATCATCGCAGCTCTCCGAGCCCAGGTCCCCCTCATCGTCATCGCAGCTCTCCGAGCCCAGGTCCCCCTCCACACACCCATCATCATCGCAGCTCTCCGAGCCCAGGTCCCCCTCCACACACCCATCGTCATCGCAGCTCTCCGAGCCCAGGTCCCCCTCCACACAGCCCATCGTCATCACACTCTCCGAGCCCAGGTCCCCTCCGCACACCCATCATCATCACAGCTCCCTGAGCCCAGGTCCCCTCCACACACCCATCGTCATCACAGCTCTCCGAGCCCTAGTCCCCTCCGCACTTACCATCATCGTCGGAGCTCCCTGAGCCCAGGTCCCCTCCACACACCCATCGACATCACAGCTTTCAAACCCTAGGTCCCCTCCACACACCCATCATCATCACAGCTACCAGATCTTTGGTCCCCTCCACATACCCATTGTCATCACAACTCTCCGAGCCCTGGTCCCCTCCACACACCCATCATCATCACAGCTCTCCGAGCCCAGGTCTCCTCCACACACCCATCGTCATCACAGCTCTCCCAGCCCAGGTCCCCTCCGCATACCCATCGTCATCACAGCTCCCAAACCCTAGGTCCCCTCCACACACCCGTCGCCATCACAGCTCTCCGAGCCCTGGTCCTCTCCACACATGCCATCATCATCGGAGCTCCCTGAGCCCAGGTCCCCTCCACACACCCATCGTCATCACAGCTCCCAAACCCTAGGTCCCCTCCGCACACCCATCGTCTTCACAGCTCTCCAAGCCCAGGTGCCCTCCGCACACCCATCGTCATCACAGCTCCCCGAGCTCAGTTCCCCCTCTGCACACCCCACGGAGGGACCCAAGGTGATGGCTTTGGCCTTGTGAACATCGGTGCTATTGAACTCGTGGCCCTGAGGCTGGCTGCCTCGTGGAAGCCTGACTGGGATCATAGCAGCTGGCTGGTCCCCAAGGCCTGGAGAGGTTTCCAAAGTAGCTTTCTGACCTAGCTTGGAATGGGGAGGTTGGCTTCTAAGCTTTGCTGTCTCAGATCATTAGAAATGGAATTTTTACTTAGGTAACTTCTCATGACGCACAGTGGGTTGTTCTTTCTACTGAGGATTCAGCTTTCAGCTCTGGCCCTGAGCTGCCTTGGGGGCCTGGGGAGTAAGGGCAGCCCCTACCTCCTCATGCAGAAGCCCCCTAACCCCTTCATCCAGAGTTCCCACACGCCCCTAGGGCTTTTGTCTAGCATACAGGCTGCAGCTTTGATTGTACATTGACCCATCTCGGGCCAGACAGGGGGGTTGGGGGCATAGCCAGGCCATGGATGCTGAACAGACCCCCAAGGAAAGCCCAGGCTGGACGCGGGACCACAGTGTGCTGTGGCAGGGACACCTGCAGTGTGCAAACCCACATGACCACGGGGTGTGCCTCAGCGCCCAAGGCTGGTGTCCCGCAGGGCTGGAATTCCCACCCCGTCCGTGGAACTCCTGAGTCCCAGCCCCCGGCTTCAGGCTGCACACCGTCCTTTCCTAGAACCACATTGTCTCACAGCACATCTGTGTAGTGTGCGTTCATCTCTGGAACCATCCCCCAGGAGCATAAAGGCCTCTCCAGCTGTGGACCCTGGGTCTGGGAAGGCAGAGGTGGGGGTCTGCTCAGCAGATCGGGGGCTGAGGGCCAACCCTGGCCAGGACCCTCATGACCTGGTAGAAGAGGTTCTGGGAAGAATCGCATAACAGGAAACTGCTGGGCACCCTTGCCTGTGCTCCCTGAGGGCAGGGACTCACCTTTTCTGTGTTCCTAGAGCCCATCCCAGGGTCTGGCCCCAAGTGCAGGTCAGCAAGTGGATGTTGAGAGAATAAGTGAATGAATAAATGAATTAACACATGAATGAAGGAAGAGGTGGAAAACTCTAGGCCTCAGCGGAAGGGCAAACTTTTTCCAGCTGATAGAATCATGGCAGGCTTCCTGGAGGAGGTCATACTGGAGCAGCTTCTAAAGTGGTACAGGATTTGGACTCCTAGGTGTGAAGGGAGGGCACCCCCCAGGGGTGAGCAGCAGCCCCCCAACATCAGCCAGTACACTCAGGGCTTTGTAGGGAGTTGGAGCAGCAGGAGCAGGGGCCAGGCCTGTGGCTGAGGCAGATCCTCCTCATTCACTCAACAAACCTACCAGCTCTTGGAGCTGAGCCCCAGCCACAGAAGTGGGGCAGCCCCACCCTACGGGGGCCAGAGGAGCTGGAGTCTGGGGACCTGTTTCAACTCTCATTGGGCCTTGGCATCCCCATCTGTAGAATGGAGCATGGGGGAGGCATCTCAGAGGTCCCAACACTCTCCATTCCCGCGGTTCATTTTCCAGGGCTGATCCATAGGACTCCGCAGGAGAAATCCATTCCTGAGCACTCCCGGATGCTTGACCTGGGCTCATCCTCCCAGGGGGGCCTGAAGGAGACTGGGAGGAGGCCCAGGCTCAGAGCCATTAAGCAGCTTACAGCCCCCAGGGATGAGTAGGGCAGTGGTGGGAGCAGAGAGACCTGCGGGTAGATGGGAGGGGCCCCTCCCCAGAGGAAGAGATGAGTAAGCTTGAGTAAGCTTAGTGTTAGGGGCCTGCGTTCTAGTGGCATTTTACAATCCTGACAGTCCCTTCCCTTGTTCTGGCAAACCAGACTTCACAAGGTCAGCACCTGACGTCCAGCTCCCGCCACGATGCCCATGCTACAGGGGAGGAGACCAAGGCTGCAGCAGCAGGGCCCAGGCCAGGGCCAGGCCATGAGCGCTGTGCGTTTGGCCTCGAGTTTTGCCCTGTCTCCTCACTCCGAAGTCTCCAACCTCTGGGAGGCCTGAGTGGCTTTCTCTTCTGCCTGCCCTGAGCCCTAACTCTGCTCCAAGTAAAGCAGCATTCGGAGCTGCCCTGGGACCCAGGTTGGTGTCCCCTCTGCTCTCCCTGACCAGGCTATGAGCTCTGGAGGGCAAGGCAGCCGCTGGCTGGCTCCTGGGGCCCAGAGCAGGTGCCAGGACAGTCTAGGCAAGCAGAGGGGCTTGTTTCTTTGGGCTGCGCATTGTCTTCCACCATCTCTTCTTTCAGAAATGTGTGGTCTGGTAACAGATCCCTGCACTGTGTATTCAACTCTGAAACCATCCTCCCGGGGGGTGGAGGGCCTCACCTGGTGTGGACAGAATGGAGCGGGCAGGGAGTCTGCTCTGCAGATGGCGGAGGTGGGGCTGGGGGATGGGAGGGTGGCTCAGCCAGGCCAGGAGGTCCTCAGGGTCTCCCACCTGGGTGGGATTCAGGGCTCTCCAGGCCCCACCATCCTCACATCAGAGCCCGCCCCCAGGTATGCAAGTGAGCTTCCTCGTGTGGACCCAACCCAGCCTTTCCTGGGAGCAGGCTGCACGTGAGAGGCTGTACCCATGAAACACTCACTCCTCATCCCCCTCCCCTGAGCCCCTGGCACCCTCCATTCTGCTTTTGACCCGATGACAAATCCCCTGTGAGTGGGACTCCTAGGGACCCTGTGTAGGTGGATTCTTGTGGTCTGTGTTCTTCTGTGCCTCGCCAGTTCATGAGCATAATTCCCCCTGGGATGCCCCTGCTGTAGCATGTATCATAGTTTCCCTCCTTTTTTGGGAAGTAATGTGCATTGTGTGACGGGCCACCTATCCATCCCCCGATGGGCACATGGGTTGCCTCCACCTTTTGACTAAGGATGCCGCTGGGAACACGGGTGTGTGTATGTATCTGTTCGAGTCCCTGTTTTCTGCGCCTTAGGATATGTACTCAGAAGCTCGGAGCGTTTTAAACATTCATTTGTTTGCGTGTTGTCAGCCTTCCTGAGTAGAACACGGGGGCTCCAGGGAGGAACCGTTTCTATTTCATGCACTGCTGTGTGCCTCGTGCCTGGGAAGCTGCCTGGCTCCGTGCATACTTGTGGAGGGGTTCATGGAAGTCACCATTAACCCCTCCACCTTAGCGACACAGTGGGGGACCTGGGTCCTGTAAGCTCCTCGAGGTGGCCGAGCCAGGCCGGGCATCCTGAGTCCTGCAACTCTGGCGCCTGCCCACCAGCATCTGCCTGCCGGTCATTTCCACCACCTGAGCCATCCGTCCTCCTTTGATTAAGTCTCATTTTGCCATGAAAAGAAAAGGAGGTGACAGTTGGCTTGTGGGGGAAGGTCATTCATTCCAGAAAGGAAATTGGATAGCGGCGTCTCCATCATCTACACGTGGCCTCTACTCCCGACAAACTCGCTCTCCTGCCCACTGCCCGCCTGCCCGTCCCCCGCCGTGGGCAGCAAAGCTGGTGTCAGGCGAGACAGCCTACACCCAGCCTCTCTTGGCTCTCATTAAACAGGCAGCTCTGGACGGATCAATGCAAGCCAAACGATGACCAGTTGTGGCCAGCAGTCCTTGAACGTGCTCGCCGTCCTCTTCTCGTTGCTGTTTTCTGCAGGTAAAACCTCCGTGGGTGCTGGGGGCGGGGGCGGCATGAGGGGGTGTGGTCTCTTCCTGAGGTTCGTGCTGGCCCATCTGGGGTTCTGGGGACACACAGGGGCTTGCCGTTTGTCCTTCACCTTACTGGCACCCCTCTGGCGAGCAGCTAATGTTGGTTGCTGTGTGGCTGGTCTCTGTCTGTCTCTGTCTCTCTGTCTCTGTCTCTGCTGTGCACCGCAGCCCTGGGACTTCCCATGGGAGCTCAGCTGGCTGCCAGCACCCCTGGGAGAAGCCCTGACTCGCATTCTGTCCTTCGCCCCTGCAAGACAAAGTTAGGCAGTGTCCCAGCCATCCCATCTTACAGATGAGGACACTGAGGCTTGGAGAGGGACCTGACTCACCTGGGACAAGGCAGTTAGCAGATTCCAGCCCAACCAGCCTCCTGGGCTGTCCCTGGGAGCCCAGCTTAGGTCACAGGTGGGCTCCTGCTCTCCCAGGTACAGGATGGGCACAACTTTAAGTCATCTGCGTCCTCCCCAGCTAGGAGCCGAAGGCCCAGTTCAAGGCAGCCCTGGCTCCCCAGGCCCAGGCCTGCCTCCCAGCATCAGGCACCCCCACCCCCAGGGCGTCTCCGGCTTACCTCCTTCTCCTCCGTCCTTTACTACTGGTCTACTGGGTCTCGCTCCTCGCATGTGTCTCTTTGTCTGTCTCTCTGTCTGTTCTCGCTCTTCTCTGTGTCTGTGTCTATCTCTGTCTCTCTGTCTCTATCTCTCTGTCTTCGTCGTCTATCTCTCTGTCTCTGTGTGTCTGTGTCTGTCTCTGTATCTCTGTACTCGTCTCTCTGTTTCTGTCTCTCTGTCTTGTCTCTTTCTGTTCGTGTCTTTGCTGTGTCTCTGTGTCTGTGGTCTTGTCTCTATCTCTCTTCTTTGTCTCGTGTCCTCTGTGTCTTCTGTGTCTGTTCCTGTCTCTGTCTGCTCTGTCTCTCTCTGTCTCCGTCTTTTTGTGTCTCTGTCCGTCTCTGTCTCGTCTGTCTTTCTCAACTCTGTCCTTTCTGTCTCTGTGCTCTATCGTTCTGGTGTCTCTCTCTACCTCCTCAAGCCCGCATGCTCAACAGGGTCACTGACATTGGCCTGGTGGTTTTCAGCCCCTGCCCCTTTGCAGGGGGCAGCTCAGAGGGAGGCTATGAAGGTGTCTGGGGGTGCTTGGCAGGGCTCCCCGAACAGCAAAGCCAAAGCCACACTAAGGCCAGGGGTCTGGGGGCCACCCAGCTACTCTCGCCACCCTAGATGCTTTCCATGCTTTGGCTCACCTGGTCCTCACCGCCCCTGGAGGACGGGCCTACTCTGCCCATTTTACAAATGAGGAAGGTGAGACGCTCAGAAGGAAGGTGGCCTCCCTGAGGTCACTGCTTCAGGGGAGGGGCCAGCTGGTGAGTGAGGGCGAAGGGGAGGGGCCAGCCAGTGAACAAGGGCGAAGGGGAGGGGCCAGCCAGTGAACAAGGGCGAAGGGGAGGGGCCAGCCAGTGAACGAGGGCCATCCAGATGCAGGAGTTGCGTAGAGCGGTGCACACAGGGGTGCATTCATGGTTGAGGCTTGGGGGCCCCAAATGCAGCTCTCTCCACGTTCGCTCATGGTTGAGGCTTGGAGGTCCGAAATGCGGCTCTCTCCTTCGCATCCCTGCTCTGCTGGGGCCTCCTAACAGAGTGTCCTTCGGCCTGCAGTCACACCGTGCCCCAGAGCAGAAGCCCAAGGATGCTGCCCTTTACTGCCCCTAGTGCCCCTAGAGCACGCACAGCCTCTTTCTCTAGGTGGGGGCTGCGCCTTGCTGTTTACGCTCCTGGGAGCCCCTAACCCCCCTTGGAGACCATGAGTCTTTCATCAGTGAGGGGAGGAGGTGAGAGAGTTCACGATGGCCCAGGCAGCCTCATGCCAGGACTCCCACCCGGTTGTCCTGGCTCCCAGCCCAGGGCTCTGTTGGCTCTGGGGAGGCCTCATCATTACCAAATAACCAAAGCCTGTGGCACTGACTGCCCAGCGGTGGCCAGGTGAGCTGGGTACTGGTAATGGGCAGGACCCTTCCACATCCCCTAACCTCACTGAGCCCGCCCTCCCCAGCCCCCCATCTCTGCATATCAGGCTCCTCCCAGTCCCTAGAGGCCCAGCTCAAAGGCCACCTCCTTCATGCTGCCCTACCACTCTCTCCCTTCCCTCCCTGAGTCCTGTGGTAGCCTCACAGGCTGGTCCCACCTGAGCTAGACTTTCTGACCAGCAGCATGAGTGTTCTGATCCCTCCCCAGCCGCCCACACACTGAGCGTGAGCGGGGCCTCCTCACTGACCTGGGCAGTGACCCAGACAGTGGCCGGAACTGGCCAGCTGCCTCTGCCCCTTGCTTCTAGGCCAGTGGGTCCCAAACCCAAGGCCATCAGCATCCCCTGGAGGGCTTGCCAGGACAGATGGCGGGGCCTACCCCAGAGCTTCTGATGCAGAAGCCCAGGGGCCTGAGAATCTGCATTTCTGACAGTCCCTCCAGGGATGCCCTCGAGGCCAATCAGGGGCCACACTTTGGGAACTGCTGCTCTGAGGCACAGTTTTCTCCTCTGTACGATGGAAATAAATGAGATGGAGTGAGACAGTTGTCTAGTTGGAGCTCCCTTAATAACCTCCACATCCCAGAGAGGGTCTTGTTCTTTCTTAAGGTTGAGGATGAGAAGGGGGCCTGGAGAGCTCCCCTGGCTCCCAAAAAGCTGAGACCTTTCTCTCACAATGGTCTTGCCCATCTCCACAGAAGAGGGTGCTGTCTTTGGGGGAAGGGGCATGGAATTTCATGCCCCCCACCCCCAGACAGCCTCAGCACCCCGGTGCATGAAGGCCGCCTGCCCACCTGCCAGCCCAGCCCAGCTGGGACTCCCCTGCGGCAGCCCCGGGTGGGCAGGCGGGGAGCTGTGTGGGCTGCAGTCTAATAACCTCTCAGCAGACACAGAGCTTTCAATGAGCTGGAGGAGCTCCTGCAAAACCACTGCCTTTGTGGTTGAAGGAATGTATTCAGTCAGCAAAGCCCCTTTTCAGTGATACAAATTAGATACAACGATCTCTTTTATGAAGATACTAATTAAGTCTGAGACAGTGGGCTCTAGGTTTTTTCCATTGTTATATTTGTTCAGACTTTCAATCCTGTTTATCACCATCGGCAAGACTCGTAAATACCATCCTGGGTTTGCAGTAGCATTGGTGGCTGAGCAGAGGGGTGGGAGGGTTCCAGGCCAGGGCGAAGCTACCACCATGAGGTGGGGGTGACTGAGGCAGGCTCTTGGGGACCTTGGGACCTAGGGTACTAGTTTAGTAGAAACCAAGGAACAGAGGGCCTGCTGTTTTTGACACAAGAGGCACCCAAGAGGTCCTTGCACCTATGCCAGCCACCACCCAGGCCAGCCTGGGCTTAGCAACAGGTCCACCATGGCCTACCTGGGAACAAAGAGCTAGCGATACCAGACTGGAGAGGGCCCCAGACTTTGAATCCAGGTCTGAGTTCCATTCCTGCCCCTCCAACACTTTTCAGCTCGGGCAAGTCACCTGTGATCTCTGAGCCTCAGTTTCTCCATCTGTAAAGTGGGATCTCAAACTGGCTTGGCTGTGTGAGTTAAATGAGATGGGTCTGTGAAGCACACAGTAGGTGCTCAGTTAAGGCTGATTTTCTAATTGAGTGGCTGCTGCATGTCAAGCATGTTCACCAAGGCAGGAGAGCCAGCCCTGCCTCCCAGGACCCCCCCAGTCTGGGTGACACAGAGAGTGTAACCAGGGGTGGGAGGCTGGGGGTAATGGGGACCCGTAGGTGAGGTTCACAGTGGACCACAAAGGCATCCAGGGAAGGGAAGAAGCAAGCAGGACCCGAGAAGAGGCCAGCCAGTTCCCCTACCTCTTGGCACCCATGGACTGGCAAGGGACCCCTCTGAGCCTGGTGACTCTGTCTTCCAGTCTTGTCTGCACATTTCCGGGTCTGTGAACCCTACACAGACCACAAAGGCCGCTACCACTTCGGCTTCCACTGCCCCCGGCTCTCGGACAACAAGACCTTCATCCTCTGTTGTCACCATAACAACACGGTCTTCAAATACTGCTGCAACGAGACGGAGTTCCAGGCGGTGATGCAGGCAAACCTCACGGCCAGCTCCGAGGGTTACATGCACAAGTGAGTACCACACTGGGGGTGCAACCCCACTGCCGCAGGCCCCAGGCAAGGCAACCTGCCTCCCAAAATCCTGTCCCCTGGGGAGGCGGTTGGGTAACCACTATAAGATTGGGTGAGCCTGGAAGGAGTCTGGGAAAGTCTTTGGATGACCAGGGTTTTTGGCCCATTGTGCCTTCTAAGCTTCAGCCTTCTCATCTGAGAAATGGACACAGAGGCTGGGTGCAGTGGCTCACACCTATAATCCCAGCATTTTGGGAGAATGAGGTGGGTGGATCACCTGAGGTCAGGAGTTTGAGACCAGCCTGGCCAACATGGTGAAACCCCATCTCTGCTAAAAATACAAAAATTAGCTGGGTGTGGTAGCAGGTGCCTGCAATCCCAGTTACTCAGGAGGCTGAGGCAGGAGAATCACTTGAATCCAGGAGGCGGAGGTTGCAGTGAGCAGAGATGGTGCCATTGTACTCCAGCCTGGGTGACAAGAAAAAGAAAAGAAAAGAAAGAGGGAGGGAAGGGAAGAGGGAGGAAGGAAGGGACACAGAATACTCACTTTGCAGGGTTATCACATAAGCTAAGTGAGGTTAAGGATGTGGAAAGCTTTCAGGTGTAGAAGGCGCCTGGGCCTGTAATCCACTGGGTTCCTTCCTTCATTTTTCATTAATTTAACAAATACTGATTGACACCATTGACCCAGAGATTAATCCCATGCAGTTCTTTTCCTTAAGGTGATTAAAATATGTTTGGATCAGGGGTCTGATGGAGGGGAGCACAGGAGTGGAGAAAGAGAGAGTTTGCTGGTAGAAAAGCAATGAGAACATGCTAAGTAGAGTCATGTAATTTCAAAACAGCATGCATTTCTCTATTTTGAGTGAAGCTGGCCATCTTTTCACATGCCTGAGAGACATTTGTATTTCTGTTACTGTGAGCTAGCCGTTTATGTCTTTTGTCATTCTTCTATTGAATTTTTGGTCTTTTTCTTATTTATGGGTGCTTTTCACATATGAAAGAAATATGAGTTGCAAACATCTTCCCATCTTTTCTTTTTTGAATGTTTCCATACAAATGTTTCTTCAGTGTGACTTTGACTTTATAATGCTTTTCCTCATGCTTAGTTTTTGTTATGTAATCACATTTTATCTTTTTTTTTTCTTTTATGGCTTCTGGCTTTTGCATCATGCTAAGAAAGACTTTTCCTGCTCTGAGGTCATTAAAAATACCACCATGTTTTCTCCTAATTATTTTACATTTTAATATTTTGTCTTTAAGTAGTTGAACTATCTGGAATTTACTCTGATGAAAGTTTTAAAGTAGAAATTAAACTTTATTATTCTTTTTTCAAAATGGGTAGCTGGTTATTCCAACACCATTTATTAAGTTGGCCATCTCTTTTCCCCCGATATGAAATGCAAACTTACTAAATACCTTAATATACTAAATTTGAGTATTGAGGTAGAGTGTGATATGCACTGGGCTTCTGTTGTTGTGGTTATACACTAGTACCTCACTGTGTTAACCACTGTGACTTTTAATATATTTTAATGTCTTAGTGGGCTCCTCTGGAACTTCTGTCATACAAACTTTAGAATTAGCTGTGTAGTAACCTTACCTCCCCCCAAAAAAATCCAGTTAGTTTTTTTTTACTGAGATTGTATTGAATTCATAGGTTAATCCAAGGATTGACTTTTTATGATGTTGAACATTTCCATACAAATGTCTTTTCATTTGTTCAAATTTTCTTGCATAGCATTTTAGAGTTTTCTTCATATAGATATTAGACATATATTTTGCTTTTATTTTGAGTTATTTCTTTTTATGTTGCTATTGGGTCTTTCCTTCCAGTATATCCTCTGAGTATTGTTAAAAGCAATGATTTTGAGATACGAATTTTGATAAAAGCAATGATTTTGAGATAGGAATTTTGCATTCAGCCACCTTACTGAAATTTCTTATTTTTTTTTCAGTTGATTCTCTTAGGTTTCCAATTATTCCACTTGTAAACAATGATAATTTTATCACCCTACCTTGCCATTTTTGTGCCTCACTTCTTTTTCTTGTCCAATTGTGTTGGCTAATGCCTCTAAAAGAGTCTTTAGAATTGTCAGGCTTCTTATCTTCTTCTGATTTTAATGTGATGCTTCAAATTGTTTTCCCAATAAGCATGAGGCTGAGTTTGGGGGCAGATGTCTTTTTTCATGATAAGGAAAAATCTTTTTGAAAGGGGCGTTTGTTGAAGGGAGGGGGTGGGTTGCGAGTGTGAGCCTCGATCTCCGTCTGATGTTGGGGCTGAAGGACTTTGCCACCATGCTGCATTCACTCAGGGGGAAGCCGCCTGTTCCAAATCTCCCCACCTCCCACCTAGGCCAGCTCCCCAGCCTTTTCCTTCCTCAAACGCACGGGTGCTTCCCCTGAATCTCTCGCCATCTGCTCAGCCCTTAGAATAATTCTGTGTGTGAAGTCACTCAGCAAGCCCTGTCCATCATATCAGGGCTGGAATCAGGTCTGGGATTTGACCCAAGCCTTGTATAAGACAAGGAACGGATTCCCTGAGAGAGGAGGGTAGTGCCAGGACTGGGGTGAGGACCCTGTCATGCTGCAAGTTCTGGCTGAACGCCAGACGAGGCTTGGCAACACATCCAGACTTCTCCAGGGTCTGGTGACTGGTGTCTGGGATCCTCATTTTGAAGCCCACAAGTTTCTATAATCTGCATATTTGCACAGGATTTCACACGGAACACTCCACTCCAGCAGCGCAGGGGGTCCTGGCGGCTGCTGACGAAGAGTTGGACTGCAGAATGAAGGCCTTCCCCTGGGGAGAATGGGAGTATTGAGGCTCAGAATTTTACGTTTTTAATTAAACGTAATTAAAAAATTACGTTTTTAATCTTTAGCCCTAGAAAGTGTTTATGGAGCGCATAATGTAGCTGAGTCTCTGCGCTCAACCTCATGCCACTGCAGCTACCTGGCAGCCCATCCTCAGCCCATTTTACAGATCAGGAAGGGGAGGCACAGAGTAGTTGAGTCACTTGCCTAAGGAAGACAGTGGTTAGTGGTGGAGCCAGCAGCCAACCCAGATGGTCTGGAATCACATTAGTCATTCTAGAGCTTCTACCCACAGAGGCAGATCCTACTGAGGAGAGACCACCTGAGCAGGGATCCCACCCCAGCACCACTGGCATTTGGGGCCAGGTCATTCTCCATAGGTGGCCCACTCTGTGCACTGTGGGATATTTAGTAGCATCCCAATGGCCTCCACTGACCCAGTGCACCTCCTCCCCACCACCCCAGTGATAACCGGCAGTGACTCCTGATAGTGCCAAATGTGGGGGCACAGAATCATCTCCAGTTAAGCTGCTGCCCTGGGGAGATCCCAGCCCTTGTCATTCTCCAGCGATCTTCTTGTCACCTTCCCTCTCCATAGCTGTGAGTATGGAGCCCACACAGAGGAGGATGCAGCTCCTGCTCCTCCCCCAGGCCTCTCCTGTCGTAGATGTTCCTACAGAGGGAGGCGTGGTACTTGATTCTTGAGATCTGACAGTGTTTAAGAAGGTGGGAGCCCCACAGCCTGGAGGAAAGAGCACTTTTGGGCGGAATTCTCTGTAGCCCAGTGGAAGAGCAAGGGGAACCAGGGGAGAAACAGCTGGTGAGGGCAGAGGGTCCTGTCTAGCCTGGGGGGTACAGTACATAGACTTTCTTCTGAGGCCATCAAGGGTCCGTGGAGGGTTTTATCTGACTTTGTGCTGCATGGGCCATGCCTGAGATAAGGCCCCAGAGGACCTAGGGTGTCTGCAGGAGCAGGACCCATGAGGGGGGCCTAGGCCAGACCTGGACCCCACTGAGGGGAGATCAAGAACTCGGGTGGGCCATAGAAGCCTCTTCCCAGCTGCCCAGTTTCAAGAACCTTGGGGAGAGGACCCAAGCCCAGGGAGCTGAAGTAGGGCCTGGTGTCCAGGTGGGGCTGGACTGGTGGCAGAGGATGACTTGAGGATGAGCGTTGGGGAGCAGGATGCAGGGCTGAAGTCCCGGGTCATTGAATGGGTAGGAGAGGGCCTGTGTGTGCAAGAGGACCCAGGTAGAGTCCACCTCTGTGCCTATCCTGTGCTTTGGGGCTCTGGCCACACGATATCACAGGCTCCTCTAGGCAAGACACATATGGTGCCCATTAATCCTCACCATGGGAGGAAGAAAGGGCTGGGGCCCAGGCTGGGGAAGTCACCTGTCCCAGACCACATGGGTGATAACAACTGGTGTCAAGATCTGAGGGGCTCTAGAGCCCTGGTTCTGCCACCCCTTGGTGCATCTAGAAGGCCAGGACTTGTGTGTCACTGGGGACTGCACCAGATCCCAGCTAAGAGGCTGTATGTTCCAGTATCCTAGACAGATTAGCACTCCCCAGCAGCCAGTCTGGATGGACCAGGCCAATGTGACTCCCGGGAGGGGCTTTATGCAGATGTGAGAGCTCCTGGCCCTCCCCCATCGCCCCTCCTCCCCCACCCCCGCCCCTCCACAGCCCTCCCTGCTGGCGAATCAGCCAGAAGGCGGGGCTGGTGACAGGGAAAAGGAGAGCGCTTCTGATGACTTATTTATTTGTATTTTTCTGGAGGAACAGAATGGTTTGTTTTGGTTCTGGCTGCCTGGCAGGAAGGCAGAGCGAGAGGAAGCAGCTTCGCCAAGCCCACCACCACGGCGAGATGCCCGCTTCCAGCCACGTGGGCCATAGAGAGACTGCAGAGAGAGGGGTGGGGCAGAGGCCCGGACGTGGTGAGAAGTGTACTGCACTCCTTCCCATGCCAGGGCACCGCCAGACACCAGCAGTGGCGACTCAGGCCCAGGTCCCTGAACGATCTGTGGAAGCCTCTGTGTGGGGGTCGTGGTGGACCCGGGCGTGCAGGGGATGAGGTCAGTTCTCTCTGGGGACAGGGAAAGTCTCTCTGAAGGAGGTGGCTGGGAGTGGCATCTCCCACAATGCATGGGCGTTCCTTCACCAGGCAGATGGGCCGCAGCGG